TGTAAACTTTATTAAGGGTTTAAATGATTTTTTATAGGGCTAGATTGATGAAATGTTAGAATATACTTTTTAGAAATTGAAATGCACTTATATTATTACTATAAATATGATAATCATGTTTTAATAGAGAGGAAGAGTTACTGGTGATACCTGCTGAATTGGTATAGACTTTGGTGTATTTGAATTACTTAAATGTATACTTTTTTTATTAATGTGGAGGAGATGGATTGTTTATAAATAGAGTTTGTGGAGTTAGAGATATTAATATTTGTTTACCTATATTTGAATATTAGCCTGGGACTTTGTTTGGGAAGTCCGGGGGGGTGGGATATAATATAATATTGTGTAATACTTGTGATGTTTTTTTTTTTGGGAAAATAATAAAAATTTTATATTGAAAAAAAAAAAAAGATAACAGTCTGTATCTATTTTAGTGAGGAAGTTTTATAGAACGTGTGTGGCCTCTTTACAATCCAATTCTCAGTTGCTCTGCTGTGACTGTCTGATCCACTCTTGACAATGACAAATGATGTCCAGAAAGCAAGACAGAATTTGGTTTTGGAGGGGTGAGTGTGATCCTCCTGTGTCAAATAGAAACTGATCCCAAGATTCTGCTCAAATTCCCTTTCCTCTTATTTCATTGAATGAAGTTGCCTTAACTGCTATTAGGTAAAGAGGTGTGGGAAGTCAGCCCCCCCCCACAGAGAAGGAAATATTAAAAGGGCAGAAAAAAGTATATTTCCTCAGGATCTTGAAGAGGCAGGAGAGTATGCCCAATTTTCTTAACAGCCCCAAGTCTGCCTCTCCCAAGCAGAAACCAGCTCTATAGAAATGCAGATGCAGACCATTCAGGAAAGCTGGAGCTAGAAGATTAAGAAGACAAAGACCTAAAATCTGTATACCTCACCCAAACTCTAAGAGTCATTAGCCCAGCCTCAGGGAAGCAGAATATGACCTTTGGGACATAATAGGATTAAACCACAGATACCAAGGCCCAGAAAAGCACACTCAGACTCAGTTCAAAGTTCATGCCACAGGAACAGGACACAAGTCAAAACAAAAGGCTTCAGAGGGTATAAAAAACCCACTCCCTACATGTGTTCCCTCTCTTTTCTGCCAGAGCCATCTTTCTGTCTGGCTCTCCTCTCCAATAAACTACACTCTTCTTCCCAAAGCGGTTGCCATATTTATTCCCAGCTTGGATGAACTATGATAAAGACTTTTCTTCCAACAGAGGGAAATACAAAATTGCGCTCAGAGCCGATTGTGAGTGGCAATGCTTCCCTACTCCCAAAGATGTTTTTTCATGAGGCAACTGGACTTTCTTGTTTTTCTTTGAAGATGTTTCACTTCTCATCCAAGAAGCTTCTTCAGTTGCCAGCAAGAAGTCCAGTTGCCTCGTGAAGTAGCCTCTTTGGGTTAACTATGACCTGGATGGCCGAGAATCTCATAGACATGCTTCCCTTCTGTGAAAGAAAGGGAATGTGTGGAAGTGTAAGAGATCATAAGCATCTGATCCTTTCTGGTCAAAACCAGCCCATAACAAGAATCCAACAAGCAGGGAAGGAAGAAAAAAAAAACAGGAAAAAGAAGGAAACTGGTAAGGAGAATCTCCATATCCTGGACA